GGGCACATCCCCAGTAGGAGATGTGCAGGAGGCAGCTAATCGATGTTTCTCTCTCATCGATATTTCTAACTCTCTATCTCTCTCCCTTCCTCTCTGTAAAAAATCAATAAAATATATTAAAAAAATAAAATAAAATGACAGAGGCAGGTAGACATAAAAGGAAAATCCGTAGGATCCCCCTTATATGAAGGAGTTCTCTAAACGAGTCGAATTCACAGACACAGAAAGCCAGCTGGCAGGTCCCGAGGCTCCCAGGGGCTGCCAGGAGGTGAAAGAGGAGTCTGTGGTCGAATGGATACAAAGTTTCCGTCCTGCCAGATGGAAAAGTTCTGGAGACCTGTCGCGGCGCCAATAGACTGGACACTGCCGAACGGTACCCTTCCCAAGGGTTAAGACGGTAAACTTCATACGAAATGATAGAGGTGACCAGGAGGGTCACTCAACTGCTACCGAGGAGAGAGAGGGGAGAGGGGAGGGTGTAGATGAGGTTTTAGCCAGCAAGGCAGGGGCTGGACGGATACGTCTCACACCGATCAAAACTGCTAGCGGCACAGGAATAACACTCCGAGGCAGGGCCCGGGGAAACCCTCGGACTCGCTGAGCGGGACCCGCCAAGTGGCGGCCCGTTGTAACCGGTTGAGTGGAGGGTGTGGAACACAGCCCACTGCTTCCCACCTGAACTCCCATGCCGGGCTGGCTTTCTTGAACCAGATGCGTATATTATGCCTTGATATACTCCTTTAACATACCCCCTGCATTTTGTAATGACCATTTAGGCCCCTGCTAACAAATTCCACGGTCTCCACACTCTTTGTGCACCCCGTCAGTAGAAAGCGTTAAAAACAAACCCCAATATACCTTGTATATTTGTAAATTCTATATGAGCTGATGGAGGGAGGTATTAGGACCACTGTATATAATGTGGCTTATACAACATACTTTAAATAGACCTTCTGGAAAGAGTGACGAAAAATAAAAACAAATAGAGACTTTGATGCTCCCTCCTCGGACTTCGCTAAGGTCTCACAGAGCCTCCACAGCCTCAGGGACCCTCCCCGGAGGCCACTGGAATAAATATGCTTTTCAAACACTGCAACTTGACCTCAGGAAAAGCAGCAGAACGTTCCAGAAAGTAATCGCTTGTGGGTACAATGGCTCTAACGCCTCGGCAGGTTTTGATTAGTGTGAGCCATTTTTTTCTCTGACTTCATGGCATTGAGCTGACAGCAGCATCTCACATATGGGACTTCCGAGTGCTGCATATTCCAGTCCTTAGGACACACGGAGAGGGTCCCCCAGGGGCAGGCTGACACACTCCCTCCTGCTACCCTAGGATTGCAGCTTCTCCATCCTACAGACAACAGAACATAAAGCTGACCTGGGGTCCAGGCCAGAGCAGAAGGCAAGCGGTGGGTTCACCTTTCTTACCTTGATAGATGCTAATCAAAACCCATATTAAGAATGTCTTGTAGGACAACGGCCGTCCCTACAGGAGAGAAAGACAGAAGAGGTTACCGTGCGGGGCTCAGCCAGGGCGCCTGCTGCCTTCACGCAACTCCTCCCCAAACGAGGCAAGGCCACCTGCCTGCCTTCATCAAAAGAAGTGGCTTACACATATCTGAATACATCAAATAAATTACGTTTTTTAAAGAGAATCGACATTAGATAAGAATAAGTCTGCCCTTTAGTAAAAACCCCTCGAGAACAAATGAAATTACACACACACGCACACACACACTCCACACACACACACACACACACACACACACTTTTCAGACGTGTACATAAACATTTCTAGGAGCAGATACAAGACTGTCCAGAGCTTCAAAAAAAGTTGTTAGTTGGCTTGTTTTCCATTATATATTACTGTACTGTTTAATATGCTTTACATGTGCATATGTTACTTTTTTAAGCGGGAAAAAAACTCCCATGCCTCTCTCCTCAAAGCCACCAGTTCAAGTGTGTTCAAATCAGGTATCTTTTATATGAAATATAGAAAAAGGGGGGATGGAGGAAGGAAGTAAGAAGGGGAGGGAAAGAAAGGAAGGGGGAGGGAAGAGGGAGGAAAAGGAAGGAAGAAAGGAAGGAAGGAAGGAGGGAG